GAAAGAATCTGGGCCAGTGGAAGCTTCAGAAAGCTCTCCTGCCACTGCAAGTGTGAAACATGCATTCAGCCCTAAAAACATGAATCTTATGGACGAAAGCTGGCAGGCTCATTGCCTGGTTACAGTGCGACATCAACAGTATCTTAGGACAGAATCTGGAGGATGTAATGTGGGATGAGTCATAAATATGCAATTTTCTCTGTCTCTTGAAGCAGAACTAATAGCAACCAGAAAAGCCACCGTCAGGGACAAAAGTGAGAAAGATGCATTAGAATCCATATCATTTGGTTCAAATCCCACCAGGAATCTGCATCCCAAACACAGGCATACATTCTGATGAGGTCTCAAGGCCTTTATTAACCATAGGGTAAAAATATACAGAAGCTTGCTGATTAAACAGTGACAGAAAGAGATAACCTCAAGGGGGGGCTTCGACCAAATTAAAGAAAATTACTGACTTCTTCCTACATAATCAGGATTAAACAGTGAAGCAGGAGCCAAAATAAAAAGAGCACTACACAGTAAAACCCAGCCAGCTCACATAATGGAATATATAAGCCTAGTGGATTCCTTCCTGTTGTTAGCTGAAAGTCCTTAAAAAAAAAAAAAAAGGCATTCATTACACTTTGAACTAGAAAGAAGGAAACCCTTCAGACAACGATACACAGTAAAATACTGTATTTCTCTCAAAAGGCTGGTGCAGGTAGCTGGCTGCAGGACTAGAGACTATGTTTGCTGTATCAGGAAAATGGTGCAGGAATTTGCAGGAGGCCATATGCAGCTATTCTGTCAGAGCTGGCTGTCAGGTGTCTCTTGCTGATATCTGGGGAAAAGTCTGAAAAAAATGATTTGTAACTTGAATTTTTAACTGGAGACAAGGCCTGGTAATTCTCCAGGTGAAACCGAAGCAAAGCCAAATAGTAAGGTCACTTGTCCTCACTTTTTTCCAGAGGCTGTCAATCGTGTGCTCCTTTTTCTAGGGGAAAGCAATTGCAGATCTCTCTGATGTCGTGAGGAGAGTAGGAGGAACTGAATAGGTATAAAACCAGTTCACTTCTCTAGATGCTGAGTACAGCCCTGTAACTCTCCCTGCCCTGGAACACATTAGACCAGCAAGTTCTACATTTTGAACTGGACTGATTAAAGCAGGAAACCTGTCACACATTACAAGAAATTCTTGGTATCCCTTGGTTGTCCAGGTATGTTGGCCCTTGTATTTCTTCCTATAGCAAGAGGAAGAATTTTCCAAGAATCACCACTCCCTTGATGAGGTCCAGAATGAGGTATTTTTGAGCTCAAGAGGTGCATTAACTGTCCTTTGCGTATGCTGGTGGACAGTTTCCCAGTTGCCTGGGTTTAAAAACATTTGCTGCCAGAAGGGAAAGTGGAAGGAAGAGGCCAATGCAACTGTAATGTCTCTGGAACCCAGTGCTCCTTATGATGAGCCACATGCACATTGTCTCCAGAACTGAATTATTTTTTTGTTATCTCGGTAAAAGAAAATAGTACCACTGCTGATGAGAGTCACGAGAGAAGATGCGTCACTGTTCTGCTGTAACGTACGCCACAGAAGGAAAGTAAGGCCCCTAACATTAAAGGTAGAGCACCAGAGAAATATATCAGCAAAACCGTGGTGGCAGTGTTTTATTTATTCCAGCATGAATATTCAAGTAATCACAGTCACTACTGGTGCAGTCACCTGATGCAGACGCATCAGCAGTGCCTAGCCAACGTGTTTGCATTCTGCAGTATTCAGCCAAAACAACTGTCCAAGTCCCACTATCAACTGGTGGTAAAGCAGACAAGTGGCAGTGGACTTGCGGTCCTTGAGAGAAGAAAGAAATGTCTTTTAGCTGGTGCTGAGGAATATGCGTTGCCTACATGACAAGCCTTGGCAGCAGTTCAGCGGA